CCTACAGACAGGGTTGAGATGGTCTTAGCCAAACCACACTCTCCCTCGGGCACCAGGCCTCATCAGCTGCATGCCCAAGGACCTTGTGCGGCAATTTTCTTCCTTTACTTGGGTGCCACCAGTTTTTCCCTCTCAAAAGAGTAATTTTTTTCAGCATATATTCATGCTCTTATTTCTCTCATCATTATAAAGACCTCTTGGGCTGGCGCCATGGCATGGTGGTTAAGTTTTGGCATGCTCCGGTTTGGCAGCCGGGGTTCACAGGTTCAGATTCCAGGTGGGGACCTACACCATTCGTCAGCCATGCTTTGGCAGCGACTCACATACAAAATAGAGGAAGATTGGCACAGATGTTAGCTCAGGGCTTGTTTGTTGCACCTGGTTGTTTTACCTCATTTCACTGAATTATTAATATCAGAGTTTCTTGGGACTCAGTCCTTGGACTTCTTATTTTTTTTATTTATTTATTTTTTTGGTGAGGAAGATTGGCTCTGAGCAAAAATCTTGCCAATCTTCCTCTTTTTGCTTGAGGAAGATTGTCACTGAGCTAACATCTGTTCCAGTCTTCTACTTTGTATATGGGATGCCACCACACATGGAATGATGAGCGGTGTGTATGTCCACACCTGAGATCTGAACCTGCAAACCCCAGGCCTCCGAAGCGGAACACATGAACTTAACCATTATGCTACTGGGCTGACCCCATGGGGTTCTTAGATCTTTACCTAAACTCCTTCCATAAGAGATATCATATAGTCTTTGGGCTTTCACTACCATCTATATGCTCATGCATCTCAAATTTATATCTCCAGCCAGCCCAACATCTTCTCTCTTATTCTGACCTCCTAGAGGCATCCCAAACTCAGTAAATGCCATTTCATTCTTTAAATTGTTCAGGCCAAAACAAACTTGATATTGTCTTTCAATCTCTTACTCCCTGTGGCAGGTAGGATTTGGGTTCCATAATTTTGCCCCCTGGTGTTATATATGTGAAAATGTTATGTCATCTGGGGAAAAGGAATTAAAGTCGCTAATGAGCTGAACTATTTTAAGGGAGATGATCCTGGATTACCTGGGGAGCCCAATGTAATCACATGAGGCCCTGAAAGCCAAAGAGGAAGGCAAAGATTTGGACAGAGAGATGTAAAAACAGAAAAGGAAACAGGAGGAATTCGAAGTATGTGACGGAGACTCAATCTACCATTGCCAACTACAGGTGGACAAGGGGGCTATGGGTCAAGGAATGCAGACGGTCTCCAGAAGCTGGAAAAGTCAAGAAAACAGACTTTCCCTAGAACCTCCAAAAAGGAATGCAGCCCTGATGATACCTTGATTTCAGCCCAGTGAGACCCATTCTGGACTTCTGACCCATGGAACTATAAGATAGTACATGTATGCTGATTTCAACCACCAAATTTGTAGTAATTTGCTCTGGCAGCAACAGAAAATTAATACACATCCGATCCCTAGTTCATCAGCATTTCCTGCCAGTTCTATCCTAAAAATATATCCAAAAATTGACTATTTCTTACCACACTCTTGTTCCACTTTGGTCCAATCACCGCCATTTCTCGCCAAGCTTACCACTAGAGCCTCCTAACCAGTTCCCCTGCTTCTGCCCCCCAGAATCCTTCAGTCAGTTCAGAACGCAGCAGCCAGGCCGATCCTGTTAACTCATAGTGATACGAGGTTTCCCTCCAGCTCAAAATCCTCTAACGGCTTCAACACTACTAAGCACCACAGAGTCCTTGCCATGACGCTCCCAGCCCCTACATGGTCTGGCTCCTCTCCTTCCACCCTTTCCAGTGAGGCATCTGCTGCCACCATGCTAGTTCCTCCAACAGGCTGGGATGCTCCCTCTCCAGGCTTTGTACTCCCCTGAAATGCTCCTCCCTAGATATCCACATGGTTAACTCCCTGCCTCCCTAAAGAGGCCTTCCTTATTAATGATTCATCTACTATACTAGATGTTTAACTTTATCTTATTGTTTATGGTCACCCACACTACACAGATGGGCATCATAGTGGTAGAGATTTTGTCTGCTTCATTCACAGCTGTCTTACCCATAACAAAGACTCAATAAATATTTGATGCATTAATGCACTTTTCTCATGAAAAATGACTCTTGGGTTTGTTCTTTTGTTCCTTTTCCTACTGGAACTATCCCAACCCAGCTCACTCTTCTAACATTGAAATTTCACCATGGTGTTTTTTATTGGTGTATTTTCTTCCAGTTCTTATCCTCACCCTTCAATCCATCCTAAAGATATATATCCCTGATTAATCTTTGCTAAAAAGGATTTGTAGCATATAAATTTCCTTCTTAGGGATATACAACGGCTCCTGCTGCATTCTGCTTCCAGATTAGACCTTGAAGTATCCGCAATAATCTTATCTACTTAAAACAAGCTCGGCAGCTCCTCGCCGCGCTTTCCTCTCCTTTCAGACAGACCTCCATGTTTAGGCTCTCCCACTTCTGTGTAGCTGCTCCCTCCTGCTGCTGCCCAAATGCAGGGTTTTCTCCTTTCCCTCCTTCAAACATCTAAACTTTAAGCAACCACCAAGATCAGAGTCTCTCAAAAATCGCATTCTCCAAGAAACTTTCTCCAACCACTCCAGTTCTACCAGACTTCACTTCTACTCATTACTATTTCATGATGACTTTTTTTTCCCCCTCTCTACTTAGACTGTAGGTTCTTTGAGGACAAGACTCGTGTCTCTTTCTGCTCTTTGTTCACACAAGTGACAGCAGAGTTCCATGCCCATAGCAAGCGCTCAAAAAGTATTAATTCAGTTTGTATGATTTCAATGTTTTCCCAAAACATTACAATATTTTGGGAAACATTGTAGTATAATATGTATTTCCTCTTGGAAATACAGTTTCCTCTTGGTCTCTGGGTTTATTATTTTACTATTCTTAATTTCTTTTTAACCCTAACTTAGGCACTGTTTGTCCCACAGATATGTTACACAAGAAACTTGGTGACTTTGCAAATCGTGTTTTTTGCTTCATTACTTTTAAATCAACATAGGATTTAAATGTAAAGGCATGCATTCTAATTCAGGTTTTCCAGATGCACTTGGATGAACCACTTCACTCTTTCCCTCGACACTATGGGAGGTCCTGGGATGGGCAGGAGGGTGCAGCGAGCCTGACTGACAGTGTCCCTGCCCCTCGATGTGCTTATAGCTTCATAGCTTCACAGAGGAGATGGACATTAAACAAGAGCTACAAGCAATAAGAGAATAATAAAATGGGAGGTGAGAGTTCCTTCCAGAGAATATGGTGCATTGGCTGCATCTCAGTGCCTCCACGTGTAAAATAAGAGGATTGGAGGAGAGGATCTCTTCGATACCTTCCAGCTCAGAGATTCTCTGCCACTGTCATTGCATTTTAAGAAAAATCAAAACTCAGAACTTCTCAAGAGTATTCCAGTTTGACTAGCAAGCCCAGACCAAACCATGAGATGAGCTACTTTAATCTTGTTATTATAGCTGCTATTGTATATAATGTGCTGTCATTTTTCTTAGATACAGATCCGCAATCCCTATTTGGAAGATTTGGGACCTTGTATGTTACTAAATTTATTATTTTTCCACATTGAATAGGGTAAAAAATATAAATAGCTCAGGGACAGTTTTACCACTGAATGAGTTACCAAAAATTTGGTTTTCAGAGTGACAAATAAATGGCAAGCAATAGGATATTGGAGTATATGAGGAAGCCTTTTGGTGTAAACCTAATTCAGTCTGACTTTCTTTTTCCAAAAGGGCCTGCTGTGGCCATTGAGCATGCATTGTATATCTGCTTTACGCATTTGCTGTGTCCCAAAGACAAGAACAAACAGCCTTAAGACAAAGGTGCAACTTCCCCCACAGTGGCATTTCCTTAAGGATAAGCATCTTTCCTTAGGCTAGGAGCTGATTGCTGTGCTCACCTGTGACCACCCAGCTCAAGACAACAGACCTGATACCTGCTGTGCCCACTGAGACAGCAGACCTACGACCTGCTGTGTCCATCAATTGTTGTGCTGATGGAGCAGTCTCATGACTATTGTAAAAAGGACATTTCAATCATATGTGAAACATGCTCTTTGAAGGTATATAACCACTCTGTACACCCTTCCTTCCTTAGGGAAGGAAGGCCCTGGGCTACATGGTCCTCACATTTGGCTCAGAATAAACTCATCCCAATTTTCATTTGTGGATTGGCTATGGATTATTTGCATTGACAAGAGATTTTGATTTTGAAATCTGGTTCATGGAATGTGGGTCTTTACTCTCTACATGCCTGTTTTAGATTAATTCAACTACTGGTTTTAGAGGCAATGAAGGTAAATTAATTTCTTTTGCTTCTTTGAAGTTTCTACACTTATACCTACAGCTGGAAAGTTTTCTCACTTTAGAACATTGGAAGGTAGATTCTAAAAACAAAAATAGAAAAATTCATACACAAAAATACATGAACGGTGTGAAACAATAGTCTTGTAAAGACAACTGAAATTTGGATTGAGTATCCTTAGTAAAATGTGATGCTATAAGCCAGCGAACTTTAAGAGGTAAATGAATTGACTCAAATCTTGAGAGGTTTGGGACTTTACTACCAAATCTTTACTACCATATCTATCCATAAATGGGATAACAATCACCAAATTTTGCAACACAATCTCATTATCAAAGTTAAAAATTTCATTGGAAAAAACCCTTCATTAACAATTTAAATCAACAATTTGAAAGAGAATCACTTACTTTTCAGGTAGGTAATTCCTTAAAAGAAATACATAACAATTTTATCAAAATTTTGCATTTTTTCACTTTTACTAGGAAACTTGAGACTTTTAACAGTGTTCATTAGAAAGAGTATTTTTTTCCTTATTTCAAGCAGTTAAAAGAAAGCCTCTAATATTTAAAAGAAATTCTATCCCCCATTATGCCACCAAGAAAACAAGCAAAAAACATGAAAACCACATCGGAAACATTTTTTCTTTTTGTCATGTACCTTCTTTGTCATCGTGGTGGATAATTGCATCCTGTATCATGTCAGCAAGGTTAAAATGAACCTTCTGATTCTTCCCATGCTTCAGCTTCTTCAGGAACCCTTCTTGCTTCTGAAAAGCCTTTTCTCGTTCATAGTAGGCTTTGATCTGTTCACAGCGCATGCGTTTCACCAGCCGCTGCCGTTGCCCAAGGGGAAGGGACTCCAGCAAACACTGGTCAATTTCCATTTCATGGGATCGAAAAACGTTACATAGCTGAAAGCAACCTGAAAGAAACGCAATGGAAAAGTTACCAGACCTACGACTCCAACCATGATCGCAGCACTACAGAGCACGGCTGATTTTCTATCACCCATCACACAAGCAGACTCTCATTCAATCCTCTTTGTGATTGACAGACAAAGGTGAAGCCCCCTCTACAGACTGGGTGAAAAGCAAAGAGAGTCGATGTCTTACTCAAGATTGCATAGTAATAAAGCAAAGAATAGAATTAGATATAGATATGTGGTTTTACTCAACATAATTACTAACAGTACATCCTTTCCTATTTCTTTAAATCCTCCCAAAGGCCTAAATGTTTTACCACTGTGTTGAGCTCCTTCATTTCATTGAATAATTCTGACTAAACTTTGCGTGTGAAATTTTGGCAGAAAGCCATTCCAAGTCTTTGAGAACACTTATAAAATTAGGTTTGCGTATCATGATGATTCTGCTAATCCAATTTAACACAACGTATGTATGCTATCAATTGTTTATATGACACAGTGATCATTTTCCACCAATTTAATGCTAAATACTTCTCCGTGCGATCAGTGACTTTCATTTCTAAGATATCTAAAGATGGTTACATATAAAGATTGAGAGCGAGAACAGAGATTTTTCTGAATATCATGGATACCATATTGCTGTTGTGGTCTTTGTCTTACAGAGATTGACAAACTGAGTTCTCTGTCCTGACACTGAAAATACGCACTACCTTTCAAGATGCTTTTTCCTACAAACGCCACTCAAAACATCTGTAATGAAATTGCACAAACTCGGATATTTGCCATGAGGTTAAAATTTTGCTATTGGCTGAAAATTAATGTTAGAGCCTGAAAATTCTAGAAACTGGCTCACAAATACAGGTTCAGATAAGTGTTTATATGTGTTTCTCTTAACATATTTATGCTGTAAGTCTCAAGCAGTAAGAGTAACCATGCATCCAAAAAATGTGGCTGATCTGGAAAGATCATGCAGTAAGGGGCTACTTCACCTCTGGAAAGGTGCCCTATTCCTTTCAAAGGACAACAAGTGGTGACAATATTATTTCCACTTCTGTTTCACTGGATAATTTGCAAAGCTTTATTTCACAATCACCAGGCATGACAGTCCTTCTGTTGCAAGTAATGTTCCATAAAGGCTCAAGACAAAAACAAAATCAAAGACGGTGATCCTCTATGGCCAGATATGTAATATATATAAGGGAGGTGGGGAGAGAAGTCGTGTTGGGGAATTTTGTTTAGTTTCTTAGCATTTGACGACATTTTAGAATCACATGTTTTCGTAACACTCTTCATAAGTATTTGTAAGAATGATGTTAGAAGTATCAAGTAATTACACATAGAATGTTCCCTTTCCAGTGACCTAAACACAAAGTGATGACAGTGATTCTGAAATAATGACACATTGCTCTAGAGTACGTTTGCTAAAAGCCATGATCGCTACCACAAACAGATTATCTGAGAGCTTATTAATAATGGACAGGAAATACCTTCTGCTTTCAACTCTGTTTAGAACACTGCACCAGGTTTGATTTATTGACTTTGATGCTGTGACACTGTGGCTCCTGTGACTGCTCTGGTTTGTCAGTGGATGCCCAGGGAATCATCGGAGCCACTGAAAAACCTAAAGAAGTAAAACCAGTGACATTGCAGAGTGTCACGTGCTGATTAGCATGCAGTCCGAGGCACAGGATAATCTAATAAACACAACAGTCCTCTCATCTGTAGCTCTTAGGAAAGATCCCATGGTGAAATTTTCAATTAACTTTTAAGGAGTCTTCAGTGACAGCTCATGATTCATTGAGCAGCCCTCTCAGGCTGTCAGAAAAGACTGCTGAGGGTTGTTCGTAAATTAATTCCCTTAGGATTTGGCAAATCAGAAGCCAAGCTGTTAAATTTCAAATCCCCCATGAATAAAATATTGATTCTTAACATATTTTCTTGTTAAATAATTCTCCATGCTTTGATTTTTAATGGTCTAAACTTTGATTTATTTTATATTCTGAAAATGTATTGGGCACTGTGACTTCCTTTTTGTCATTTAAAGCATATGGTTCCTTATCTACTTCCTATAGTGACTCAAATTACAACTTGGTTAAATCAGTTAAACATCCTGAGCAAAGATTATTACATATGTATAGTTATTTTCTCATGAGAAGTGGGTAATTCTTGATGCTGTCTGCTTCAGTCACGTCTTGGAAATCTCTCTGGAATATCTTTTCCTGAGTATTTGTTGTTTCTGAAGCACGTAAAATTTTGATTCTCCCAGGTGGGGTAGATGCAGTGGTATTCTGAATCGGCCTGCACTGACTCAGGAGAGCATCTCTTCCCATCTCTGTGTTTAGTGACATCACATTGATAGCTTGAAATTGGCCATGCTGAGAGTGTGCCATGAAAACAGACAAACACAACAAATCAAAGATTCCATTCCCACCTCGCCAGAGCTGACAGTTAAAAATTTACCAGGACCCCACTCAGGACAGTAAGGGTGTAGTCTTATCATTCAAAATTCTATGATAATTTTATTGTTACTTTGATTACAATTTAACACTGTGGAAAAAAATAACTTCTCAGCAACAGCAACCTATGTTAGGGGAACGTCAATTTTTGTAAAATATAACACCAAAATATCAGGCTACACACAACAGAAGTTAATTTTTGCTCAGATAAAAAGTTAAGATAAGGGCTGACTGGTGAACGTGCTCTTCCAGGCAGCAGTGGCAGGACCAAGGCACCATTATGCTGTGGCCATCCTTGGTATGTGGCTTCTACAGCTGCCGTGCTCCAAGGCATCAAGCCAACAGAAGGGACTGAACATGGTCAAACACTCGGGCATATTTCCTAAGCCAGGCCTGGGAAGCTCAAAAATGACGTCTACTCATGTAGCTAAGGAGAAGAAAAAACTGGTTTCAGCTAGTCAATCTCTGCTACAACAACGAAAACATGCTCTGTTTCACTACAACATGTGTCTTTGTAACACTAATTACCTATACGTCATCGTGAGAATGAGGGCCGTGCAACACTGCAGTTGTGCTAGTTCATGTGGGTTTTTCTTGTAGGCAAAGAAAGCCGCAATAGTGGGAAGGAATTACAGTCTTTATGGGGAAGAGCCCTCATTTCAGTACCTGGGCAGGCAGAACCCATCAACCCTACTTCATGACTATTGGAAACGAGGGCCTGCCCAGGACTCATTCCAGGGGAGCAAACAACCTGGCCAGCTCAGACTCACTCTCTTGCAGCCTTAACCACACCCTGCCCAGGCTGTGCACATTATCACCTGCCGTACTAAGTACTGTTATTCTTAGAGCCCTTTGACAAAGTTCTAAAGTTTTGAGTAGACTGCCTGGAAACTGTTTCCCATAACTCTGTTATTTTTAGTGTGCTGTCTTATAGATTGATCGCAGCACACAGATGTGACATAGCTGATCCATAGAACACGTATTATCCTCAAATCTACACAAATGCTGCTGACTAAAATGCTTATACCATATATTTTCTTGTTTACTTGTAAGCCCTGTAAACGCAGGAACTTGGGCTGTTTTATCCACTGCTTATTCTCAGCATCTGGAATAGTAAGTATTCAATATTTTGTTGTTGTTCTTGTTGAATGAAATTGTTTATTTCATACACATACCAAGGGAGGTCACAGCATAATGGCACCTTGGTCTTCCCATCACTGCTTGGAAGAGCACATTCACCTGTCAGCCCTTATCTTAACTTTTTATCTGAGCAAAAATTAACTATTAGATTGCTGGCAGGAATATCATGTGTCTTACTAGGAGCTGATCCAGCACTCAACCTACAGTCGATAAATGCTTTATACTTCTGCCCTTACAGACAGGTACAATGATACCATACTTGTTGTCTGGTTGTTCTTCCTCACACCATCTGGCCTGACGCAGTGTAGCCAAGTTTATCATTGCACTGGATTTCTAGATGGACAATTTTACTCTTTTCTTGGGGGGAGGGGCATCATATATATAGCACTATCCTACAATTCCTGATAAAAATGTATAGACATCTACCATAGCCAGAAGTCCCTGCGCAGCAAATGTGCTTCTCCATATGACAAAAATTGAGAGCCAGCAAACAAAATGCATAAAGGAAAAGGCAAAGATCTCTGTTAAGAAATAAATATGTACCATCTAGTAAAAACATTAGTAGCCCCATGCTTTGGTTTTGGAGGACCCTACACATGTGCCATGACCTCAGGACTATATACTGTAGCAAAGTAGAAAGATAAAGAGTAAAGTTACGGGGAAAGGGAACTAAGGAAATGAACTCCTGAAATTATTCTGTAGCACAACTGCCAGAAATGGCTTCATCTCAGTTAGAATGAAAATCTTCATGTGGCCATGGCACACTCAATGTGGGAGATTTTTATGCACATCTCTCCATGATTGCTAGAGTAAACAGGCAAAAAAGTTAGCAAGAGCGTAGATAATTTGATCTAAAGCACATTTATAGAAACTTGCACCCAATTTTCAGGGAAAAAGCTTTTTTCAAGAATTCATGGATGATTTATGAAATTAACTGTGGCGTAGGCCAAAAAGCAAAGCAAATTTCAACAAATACTGGAGAACTGAAATTACACAGATATTTTCTTAACACAGTTGAGAACTGGATATCAACTACAGAAGTAGAACCAAACCTCCCAATATGTCCAGAAACTTAAAAAGCTAATCCTAAATAAAGCATAGTTTAAGGACAAAAACATAATAGAAATAATGAGCTTTCAGAACTAATCACTGACGAAAGCAAGTCCACATCAAAATTTCATGGATAAAACTAAAATATTCATAGAAATGAATTTATAGCATTAAATGTTTATATTAGAATCTTAGAATCAATGAACAAAGTACCTGATTCATAGTTAGAAAAGAACAATAAAGGAAGCCCAACAAAAAAAGAAAGGGGAAAATAATAAAATGAGGATATAATGAAATAAGGAAAGAACAAAGAGGAAGAAAGACATGAGAAATGGACAACATCTAGGAAAATAT